TATATATATGGATGTTCACTGCCCATATACAAATAATGTGCCCACTAAAAGCCTTTTATTCAAATGAAGCAAAGCTATCAACACCAAGACATGATGGGTTGAAATTATAGAGCATATCATGCTTTAAGTTCAAGCTTTTGCCATTTCCCCCTTAGGCACACACCAGACGTCATTCTGTGGCCAGACCATCAGCAAGGTTCTTGAGCACATGCATAGAGACAGGGAAGTTTGTTTATAAATGAACCAGTTATCATTGAATTCAAAGCTTTACAAGACTTTTGTCTTTTTTTGCAGCCACTCCATCCACTCCAGCCAGCTCAGCTAGCTGCTGAAGTTTTGGCTAAGATGGGAAATCCCTACCGGTGGGGCCATCCAGGCAGAGTACCTCACATTTTCCTCCATGCTGTTGCACTGCATGTGCCTGGACCACAGTTAGGAAGACTTCTCCAGTCATGTGAGTTCTCTTGGAGTTACATGACTGGAGAAGATTTCATAACTGTGGCGCAGGCACAGGCAGTGGCAATTTTTCAAACTTCAGCAGTATTTAAAAAAGAAGGGAACTTGGTGAAGGAGATGGTGTTTTTCAGGCCCTGTTTTAAACATTTTCAGCCTTGTCCCAGGCTGTTTTTCTTTTCTTTTCTTTATTTTTCTCAATAAAGCTATTACAACTATAAATCTGTCTTGTTCCGCTCTCTTGGTTCTTCACTGTACTCCAGCATGATCCACATCTGGGAAAATGGTCCCCCTGAAATGAAAATATGCATAAATGAGCATGGAGAACACCCTGAAATATTTTCTGTGATTAAGCCGCAAGTTGTTTTTACCAAAATTGTCATTAAACAGTCTCTTACCTCAATGTGCTCATGAGGGAGTCATCCCATTTTCCACAGCTGTGGCTCTAGCAGCCTGGCTATGAGGGGGAAAGACACAATGGACCAAGTTATTTGGCTCTGTAAAGAAAAACTGGAGCACATTCCACTGAAGCAAGCAATCAAATTAAGATGTTCAGTGTTTTAAGTATTATACAAATATTCTACAGGGCTGACTGTAGTAAAGTTTTTGAAATTGCCCTTAAAATGACAAACCCACATGCAGCCTGAAAAGCGAGTAACTACTACTATGAAGCCAAATTCTCAAATTAGGCTTCAGTCATTTAAAGTGCACCAAAGAATTAAACATTTTAATTATTCACATATTAAATGTTAATATCAAAACAAGACTGCATAGAGTACCTGAAGGGAAAGTCAGGTTTCTTTGCAGCTTCATGGAAGAACCCCAGAGCTGTGGATGCCTGGTTTTTGGCCATTTGGAGGATCAGGATCTGTGACAATACATTTAGAGTTAACTCAGTCGGCTACTCAAAGTTACTCACGAGTTTATCCACAGTGAATTAAAAGATAATTCTATTTGCCAGCTATACTATCAACTTGTTGTGTTTCACTTGAGAGCAATGAAGGTCAATCACTATGTTATGACAATGCCATAAACATTACAGATAGATCACTGGAGGTTTTTACTAAAGCTTCATTATCATACAGTAAGTCAAACTGTTACACTACAGTTCATTCTGACCCTGTGTACAAACATGGTGGATACAATGCAGAGTGAAAGCACTAATACAAATGCTAATATTCACACCTTACAGCTGCTGTCTTAAGACACCATATATCAAATTAGGAGGTTTGTCAGTGGAAAAAAACAAGATTTTTTTTTAAGCAGGGGATCTCATATCTTCTCTAACCTCCTTCCTTACCTTTACCACAGGTAACCCTCTGCTTTCTTCATCACTCCTTTCTCTCTTCTACCGTGTCTTCAGCTTGCTGGTTTGTGGAGGACACCATCACGAAGCCACAGCGTCTATCTTTATCTTAGCCCTAGTCAGTGTCTTATAGCCAGTCTTCTTCTTCTTCAACCTTCTCCATCTTCATCTCCGACTGTGGGGAGGATGCTATCTCCCCTGACCCTGGCGTCCTGGCCGTAGCTTTCATGATGTACCTCACTGGGCAAATAGCATAAAGGACCTTGCCGAAGGACCCACGGAGCATGTGTGCATGTATGTGTATGTATGTACCAGCTTATTGCCCAGCTTGCTGGTTTCATGTTCTGTGTGGACATTTACTGCAGAAGAAGTCTTACTGTCATCGTCTTCCCTCCAGTTCCCCTGCATGCCTGCTGCAGCTCAGCACACTTCATCCATTCATTATACCTGAAGACTGTAAACAGGTGGATAAGAGACAGGGACTGCAGGTTTCTACAGCTTAACTTAACTTAGTCATGTATCCAGATGCCAAAGGACTGGAGCTGGTTCTGCTGTGCCAGTTAAAGAGACTTCAAACTGTCAAAGGAGCAAAACCTTGTATTGACAGCTGGGTGTGTAAGGTCAAGGCACAACACTCAGCCTAAACGGAAGTTCTTAGTCTTAGTCATGACCTTCAAAGTCAGCCTTCCCTATGTTGTCGGAAAATCAACAAGTCTCTTTCATTACATTCAGAAACACAACAGATCTCCGGAGCTTTGTACTCCGTGCAGAGGACCAATAGCAGAAGCCAGGAAAAGTTCTAAAGGCCGGCTGAGCTGGTGATTGTGTGGCGCATTGGGAATGCCACTGACTGCGACGTGACAAGCCCGGGTTCACTTCCCTTGTCACTGCATAATCGTTCATTTTGTCAGAATGATGCAATCACTTTAGGTAATAACAGGAGTCAGTAAAAGTTCCGAATGCATACATCGTAAGCAAGCGGATGGTGCAGTGGTTAACGTTACTTACTGTGGTGTAGCAGTTCGTGGGTTCGCACCAGTTCGCTGAGCTGATTACTCCAAAAGCGATGACAAGCACCGGTGGGCGTTCACGGTTGGTGTACCTCCTCGAGGTGTCCATGGAAGATGTAGGGGGTACGGTCGCTAGAAGCGTGCGGATACCACGGGTTCGGACAGTGGGTGGTCCCCCACCCCCAGAGGGGTCTGAAGACAGAAAGGTAGATGTCGCTCACATCCTTTTTTTTTTTGTGTGTAAGACCAAAAACCAGTGGTTCCATTACCGTTCTCTTCACTTTCCTTGGCGTCCGCACGCCTCACCCTTCTGCCGCTTTCAGGGTGGACCTTGCAGAGGTCCCCCAACCGACCGTACCCCCTACATCTTCCATGGACACCTCGAGGAGGTACACCAACCGTGAACGCCCACCGGTGCTTGTCATCGCTTTTGGAGTAATCAGCTCAGCGAACTGGTGCGAACCCACGAACTGCTACACCACAGTAAGTAACGTTAACCACTGCACCATCCGCTTGCTTACGATGTATGCATTCGGAACTTTTACTGACTCCTGTTATTACCTAAAGTGATTGCATCATTCTGACAAAATGAACGATTATGCAGTGACAAGGGAAGTGAACCCGGGCTTGTCACGTCGCAGTCAGTGGCATTCCCAATGCGCCACACAATCACCAGCTCAGCCGGCCTTTAGAACTTTTCCTGGCTTCTGCTATTGGTCCTCTGCACGGAGTACAAAGCTCCGGAGATCTGTTGTGTTTCTGAATGTAATGAAAGAGACTTGTTGATTTTCCGACAACATAGGGAAGGCTGACTTTGAAGGTCATGACTAAGACTAAGAACTTCCGTTTAGGCTGAGTGTTGTGCCTTGACCTTACACACCCAGCTGTCAATACAAGGTTTTGCTCCTTTGACAGTTTGAAGTCTCTTTAACTGGCACAGCAGAACCAGCTCCAGTCCTTTGGCATCTGGATACATGACTAAGTTAAGTTAAGCTGTAGAAACCTGCAGTCCCTGTCTCTTATCCACCTGTTTACAGTCTTCAGGTATAATGAATGGATGAAGTGTGCTGAGCTGCAGCAGGCATGCAGGGGAACTGGAGGGAAGACGATGACAGTAAGACTTCTTCTGCAGTAAATGTCCACACAGAACATGAAACCAGCAAGCTGGGCAATAAGCTGGTACATACATACACATACATGCACACATGCTCCGTGGGTCCTTCGGCAAGGTCCTTTATGCTATTTGCCCAGTGAGGTACATCATGAAAGCTACGGCCAGGACGCCAGGGTCAGGGGAGATAGCATCCTCCCCACAGTCGGAGATGAAGATGGAGAAGGTTGAAGAAGAAGAAGACTGGCTATAAGACACTGACTAGGGCTAAGATAAAGATAGACGCTGTGGCTTCGTGATGGTGTCCTCCACAAACCAGCAAGCTGAAGACACGGTAGAAGAGAGAAAGGAGTGATGAAGAAAGCAGAGGGTTACCTGTGGTAAAGGTAAGGAAGGAGGTTAGAGAAGATATGAGATCCCCTGCTTAAAAAAAAAATCTTGTTTTTTTTCCTCTGACAAACGTCCTAATTTGATATATGGTGTTTTAAGACAGCAGCTGTAAGGTGTGAATATTAGCATTTGTATTAGTTCTTTCACTCTGCATTGTAACGTTACACGCTATCATTAAACTCTCGCTAAAGCTAGAGAAAGTAGTCTACATGAACTCGAAATTAGACAGTCAAATGTTTACCTCCAATTAACAGCGAAGCATCTGCATACACACAGAACGCTGCACATTAAATTTTAACGGCAAAAGATCTACAGCAGCTCAACCTCATCGTCAATGAGCCCGGGACGTCCGTCCTTCGACAATGGTATGGCCAGTTTCATTTTTACCAGCACGGGATTCGAACCTACGATCCTCTGAATTTCTAGTCCCTATTTTCGCCCCCCTTCTTCTACAGATCATTCGCGCGTTAAATGAGTGGTCACGTGATGCGTTTCAATTAGCGCGAGAACGATGCATTGCGAAGAACGAAGATAGATGAGGTGAAACAAAGGCTTGCGTCTGGCGTATATTTTTTGGTTACACCAGCAGCAGCTAAGTCTGAGGTGTGGCAACATTTTGACGAGAACAATGACCCAGGGGGTTATGTAAAATGCAAGAAATGTAACGTTCTCTTTGTTAGGTATTTTTAGTCAGATAGAAATTGGATAGATACTTTATGTATTAGAAATGTTTAGTGGAGATAGGATGTCTAGTTAGACTGTTAAATGCTTAGGCATGCTTATGAGTTTCTACAGGGTACATCTGGTCAAGGATAACTAGAGAGAAGAGTTGATGACTGTCCAGACAGGGTGTTTAATATTA